TTTGTTTGCTTTTATATTATTATTAATTATTATGTTTTTTAGATGTCTGTTTTCTAATGAGAGAGAGAGAGAGAAAGAGAGAGAGAGGAAATGGATTTGGGTGGGTTGAAAAGATTTGGGGGGAGCTGGGAGAGGGAAATCATAAGCAAGATATATTTGTGAAAAAAAAATCAGTTTTCAATAAAAAAAGGAAAGACAACCAACCAACCAGACAAAATCCCACAAAACTAGCTACTTAAACTTATTTTGCGATTCCCAACTTGGCATCTTCTATCTGGTACAGAGACACGAGTTATTTTCTCTGTTTGAAGAAGTCCATCTGAAAAACGTACATTTATCCCCAAATACCACTGAGAAGGCCAACTAAAACGTACTGTTTTGTTGAATTGGTCTGAGACACACTGGCTGTCTGTGAGGATGCAGATTCAATCTGTTAGACACTCTTAATAGTTTCTTATGTCCTGGGTGAATTGAAGTCGGGAGTTATAATGAGTAGAGCCTGTCCACAGTAAAAAGCTCAACCAAACCTGGAGTCGTGAGAGAAAATAATGTCCATAGGAAAGAAATGTTCAAGCCTTCCACACCAAAAGTCATGGAACACCAGGCCTAAGACAACACACCTCAGGGCTTAGGGGAGGAAACAAGTGTATGAGATCCTTGGTACCTGCTACACTTGCACAGGCGTATGGTCCCAGCTAGAGCCCACAAGGGAGGCACTGCCCCATATGCGTGCCTTCCCAAACCCTGAGCAGGTAGGAGAGTTGTGTAGGAGAATGAAAGTCAATGGTCTTGAGAAACCTATGACCTATGAAATGAGACCAATGTAGTAGACTGACCGTGTTTCTCTTGGAGACCGGGAGTTTGGGAGCTGAGAAACAGGCAGTTTGTGCAGAGGCAGATGTTAGAAGTGATGTGAGAGCTTTCCTCTGAGAGAAGGAGCTGGGGTGGCTACTGGGAAGTAGACTAACATTACATGGGAATAGGAATGCATAGTGGACACAGAAGTCAGTCAGAGAGGAGAATGAAGCAGTCACACAGAGGAGGAAGCCCTTCATGAGGTCATGGCCTCCACAGTCATCCTAGGCCCTAGTGTGGTCAAAAGCAAAGCTAAGCATAAGGGGTGCTGCCCACCGTGGTAACAGGAGAACCTCTAGGGGACGGGCACTGTTGGGCAGAGGACGTAGGCTAGGACGCCACTTGTCTCTCCAGGAAAGTCTCCTGCTGAGCAGTTCTGTAGGATTCAGTTCTATTTTATAGAATAAAGTCTGTAATACTCCCCAAGTACCATAGATATTCTAAATACTGAACTTTTTAGCTGCCTATCAAACTTTATCTGCCCCCTCTGCAATGATGCAGTCAGGACCACTACATAACTAACTGCCAAGACTGTCACCTCCAGCCTCCCTTGCTGTTGCCAGTGACCATGTAGCTGACTGACCAAAGGGACTTGAGCAGAAGAGCAGTTACACCTCAGTTGATATGGAAGAAAAGCAGGCACACGTGTTTTACTTTCTTCTCCCTGGCAGCTGCAACCCAGGCCATGCAGACAGGGATGGTGTGTTACAGATAATTTATTACATTGGAAGGGGGACTTTTCTACTCACCCATTCTAGCTCCCAAACAAAAGACACAGAGACTTATTATATTTATTAATAAGCTATAAGCTCAATAACTGGGCAGATTTGATCTATTTATACTAACCCTGTAAGCTAGTCTGGCCACTTCCTACACATGCCCCAAGTTACTTGCCAATATTGGTCTTGTCTGGGTTGCATCTGCTCCATCAGGGCTCATCCTTTCCCTAGCTACATCTTCTTCCTCCTTCTCCCCAATTCGTGGCCCCTACCTCAGACCCCAAGTCCTGGAATGGAAGCTCTGCCTATCTCTCTTCTGCCCAGTTTCAAGCTGTTCAGCTTTTTTTTTTACTAACCAATCAGAGATAACTGGGGAGCAAATTTTACACAACAATGCTCTTCCTCCTTGTTGATCCTCCCAAGCAGTGTCTTCTAGGCACACTCATGGTGTGAGAATGAACTTAGGCAGGGCCCAGACTTCCACATTTGGGTACACAGAGCACCAGACCCACCCCCAACAACAGTGCTTCCCAGGTATGGTTCAGTGGTCAGTGCCTGTTACCCATCTGCAATGGTATTAACAGGTAGGGCCTGCACACAAGTCATTGATAGCAGTATACAGCGTTTAGTTCGGTTGACAATTTTCTTCCATATGATAGTTAATTTTCACTGTCACCTCAAATACTCCTCCAATACACCTGTGAGTACCTGGGGTGACATTGCTCCATGGCCTGGAGGCCTGGGTAGAATGAACGGGGAGAGAAGAAAAGTCAGTTAAATGCTGCTTTTCCACTTCTCTCTGCTTTCTGGCCCACTAGGATGTTATGAGCTGCTTTTCCCACATGTGAAATCCTGAGCCAATCCAATCTTTCCTTTTTCAGGCTGTTGCTATCACATATTTTTGTCTAAGGGATGCAAAAGTGAGACACAAGACATTCTCTCTAACAGTTGCCCTGGATCAATTTATGCTGACTCAAGGGCCCATGCTCTTTGTGGACATACCCTATACGTCTCCCTGCATTAGAGAGAATGGAGGAGGTACAGAGTCCTCACTCCTAAATAACCATGTGGAACAACTTCCCTGGACAAACCAAACCAAACCAAACCAAACCAAACCAAACCAAACCAAACCAAACCAAACCAAACCAAACCAAAAATATCCCCTCCCCTCCAAAAAAACCAAAGTAGCAACAACAAAAGTTCTCGTCTACATGGACCATTGATGGCAAGAGCTTTCTCACAGGGGTTTAGCCTTTCCTGTTAAGTCACTGGTATTAATTATTTCTAAAAGGTAGACCATGGGGATGACTTTAAAAAGCACCTAAGAAGTCACACAGCCAGGATATATTGAGGCTCATACATATAGCTGAATCAAATATACAACATCTACAGCTTCTACCTGGCAACAAGGCATTGTCTTTCTGGTGAGGAGACTGACTCATCCCTTGTACCTGAAGGACGTTGTGTCCACTCACATCTTCCAAATTCCTTTCTTGTGGGCTGAGCAAGATGCAGCCATGAACAGGGCTGACGCCATTGCTGGCTGAGCCACATGCAAGCACAAGCACATGGCTCTGCTTTCTGTGGCAGAAGGTCTGTGGGCTGGGGTATTCACAGTAAAGGCTGAGGTGAAAGAGGGGCCTGCCTGCCTCCAGACATGACAGAGACACAGAAACAGTGAGATGTCTTCAGTCAGAAGGATCAGTCACACTGGTGCTTTTTGGATACCAGTGTTTTGACTGTACGTCATAGTTTTTCCTCAGTGTTGTGAGGAAGCCATCATTTAAGAGGTTTGTGTTGGCTCATTTTGTGTCTCTGTGGCCAACATGCTCAACAGAAACAGCTTAGGGGTGAAAGGGTTAATTGGGGCTCATGTTTTCAGAGGCTCTCTGTTCCTTATGGAGGGGAAGGCATGTTGGAGTTCCCAGTGGTTAGAACGTGACATGGACTGACAGGCAGAGGAGGCAGGCTGGACCCCGCATCCGGTCTGACCTCCAAAAGCTGTCCAGGCCTCACTCCTTAATGGCTCCATAGCCTTGAACATAGTGCCACTGGTCAGGGAACAGTCATTCAAAACACCAGCAAGGTTCTAGGACAGAGGACCTTTCTCCTAGCATTTGACCTCGAGAGGAGAGGGTTTAATGCTCCCCTGCAGGTATAAAAGGCATTAGACCATTTCTTGGACAAGTCTATCACTCATCAAACGTGCTGAGCAGCTTGTTATTTACGGGTGTGTAGAGAAGCGAGACCAAGACCATGCTGCTTGGGAGGAGGGAGGAGGCCAGCCTGTGTGTGTTCAGGGTCTAATGTCTGCTTACAGACAGCCTGGGAATGGGCTGCAGAGGCTGGGAGCCCAGGAAAGATGGAGTCCAGACCCACTACAGATGATTATTCTTCTTCTTCTTCTTCTTCTTCTTCTTCTTCTTCTTCTTCTTCTTCTCTCTCTCTCTCTCTCTCTCTCTCTGTGTGTCTATCTGCAGTCTTGTCCCTCCCTCTTCCTTTTGCTTTTCCCTCGGATCACTCACTCAGGATTGTATTACTGTATTTCCTTGGCTTACTTAAAACAATCTTAAAATCAGCATTTTTCTCCCCAGAGCCAGACACATGCAGAAAAATACATTTCAAGTCCAAGAAAACTGCCATTCGGTGTGCCGTGTGTGATCAGTGAAGAAACGCACAAATGTGGTATCTTACTAGAGACTCAGACCAGAGACTTATCAGCATCATGTTCACAGGGGACAATCAGGCCCCAAACAGGGAGGTGGTTCACCAGCCCTTGGTGAGAAACAGGCCTCACCCATTATAGGCACAACCACAGGATCAGCTCGGGCAGCCAAACCGTGGGCAATGACATCCTACAAGCTTCTATTTATTGTCATCTGGCTATGGTGGGAGTCCCCTTAGCATCGATGGAATTGTGAAGGGTGGGTGACCGTTCTTCAGAAGTGGGAACAGAAGGGACAGAGGGAAAGTGAACAATTCTTCTGGAACCTTGCCTGAAGTAGCTAAGGGATGCTGGCAAGGGAAATTCGCGGGAGAGTGGTTGTTTTTTTTTTTTTCCCCCTGTTTCTTGGAAGCAGTATGTCTGCCAGGGGGCCAGTGTTTACTTAACTAGCTCTGCACACAGAGCACATCTCCCTGTGCTATCCTGCATCTGGCAGAGCAAGTGAGGCGGCTGCTGCTGCTGCTGCTGCTGCTGGGAATGGACAGGGGCAAAGCAGGGGTTCAGCACAGCACACCACGTTGGAGAAGGCGTCTAGGATGGCAAAAATTAATCAGATGGGACCAGGAGGGAAAGGGAGATGGGTCAAGGAACACTCAGCCTTTCATCACTTGCTGTAGATGGATGGTTTCCCGGCCAGGCATCTGGGAGCCCGGCTCGCTATAGGGAGACGTCAGTGCTCTCAGGCCCCGGGTGGAAGAGCCCCCAGCCCCTCCCGCGCAGGCTTCCTTTATATAAAGTCCGGGCCTCGTGGAGTCTGCAGCAGCGGCGCTCGCTCGAAGCGGCGGTAGCAGAGCTCCTTGGAGCTGTCCTCCTGTCGCTGCTGCTCCGCCGGGACAGCGCACTGTCAGCCTAGCCCAGAGCTCCGAGGGCTTTCCGCCGGGACCATGCGAGGCTCCGAGCTCCCGCTCTTGCTGTTGGCACTGGTCCTCTGCCAGGCGCCCAGGGGGCCGGCTGCCCCAGTGTCGGCAGGTACAAGCGGAAGCACGGTCCTGGCCAAGATGTACCCGCGCGGCAGCCACTGGGCTGTGGGTAAGTGTCCCGACTGTGAGAGCCCAGGGCTCTTCTCCTCTGAGGGTCTAGTTAGCTAAGGGGAACCTCTCTCTCCATCTCAGCATTTTGCTTGGGAGTTTGGCTTGTCTCCTTTCCTTCTACTGAAACACTTACTCAGCTCTCCCCCAAACTCAATCCCACCTTCTCTTGTTCTGGGAAATCGGATAGATCCCTTGCCGGTGGCTGAATGGCCCCCAGATCCCTTTTCTCTCTCTTCGCACCTGTGAGCATCTCTAGCTCAAAGCTGTCTCCCCAAACCCCTCAATCCCGTGTGCAGCTCACCTCTCCTCTGCACCTGCCCACTCCCTCCTAGGCCGGCCTCTGTCTGGCATGGGTCTGCTCACAACTTTGGGGAGCGAGGTCCCCTAAGTGAATTCCGGATCCTAGTCCAGCCTGGTGAGCTGGACTCCCACCCATGTGGGCTGGAATCCCGACTGAGTGGTGCACAGAGCAGAACCGCAGGGTATGGAGACCTGGGTACAGCGCCCCCCACCCCCGCCTGGGTTCAAGTACTCTCCTGAGTTTTCTCACCCCTGCAACTCTCTTTGAAGCAATGCTCTTTCCCTGGTCTTTAGCTTCGCCGACCCTCACTCTCTGCCCTGGCAGATTTTAGGGCTCATGCCTGCTCTCTAAGCTTACCTGGGCCCCGCTGCCCAAACCCCAGGCATTTGTCCATCTCTTAGACCCACACCATCATCCTCTACTCTCTCTTCTTCCTGACTTCTGCCAAGAAGCCCTGTTTCCTGGACACAGGCTTCTGATTGCAGCCTAGCTGAAGAGGACTGTTGCGCAGTGGCTGTGGAGTGGGGCCGGGTCCTGGCTCTGAGGAACACAGCCTCCCAGAGCTTTCCTGAAACTGGGAGGCCAGCAGCAGCTAGCAGGTTGGCACTCATCTATCCAACGCAACATCACCTGGAGCTTTGGATGCTGCAGCTCCCGGGATCGTCTCTGGACATCACGTCTTCCCAGGCAGGCACCACCTCCAAGAAATGCAGAGTCCAAGGTCTCCTGACCTTTTGCCACTCCAGTCAATCGCGACTACGTCATATTTCCTGGGAAACTGGTGCCTTCCCTAAAGAGCTTAGGGAGAGAGAGGAGAGAGATTTCTTAGCCAGATATATAGAAACAGGGAACAGTGTGTTGGAGAGCAAATTACAACCAAGTCTCAGATTCTAGGTGCCAGAATAAGGATGGATTTTTGGGGAAGGAATGAGGCTGGAAACTCTGGACTTCCATGTTGTGCTTTGGCAGAGAGTTCAAGAGCACTGGGTTGGCATCCTATAGTTTTGGGAGGCCTTGCTAAAAGTCCCAGAACTTGTGGCCTCTGAGAGTCACTAGGATCCTATGAGACTGGACAGAGAGTGGAGTGCAGGTTGATGTGCGAGAAGCAAAGAAAGAGGTTGTTGAAGAGCCCAAAGTTGGAGCTGCTGATTGTTAAAAAGGGATCCTCAGGGCCTAGATTAAAGATCCATTGTCTGATCCAGCCACCAATTAGTGGGCAGGGAGGGAGAATGGATACCCCGGACTCCCTTTAGTTTGCTCTCCTCCCTACCGTCACACAAGAAGAGTGCATGTTCCGTCAGTCAAGCCTTGAAGACTAAAAGCACAACAGAGGTGGGTTGGAATCTAGTGTCGTGTCTATGGAGCAAACCAAGCTGAAGCCGACCCACTGTAGTTAGGGCGCACACATGTCCTGGGATATTTAGGGAACTTCCTTTAGTCACCCTGCATAGTGGTACCATGAACATTTAAACAATTTTATTCTCAAATTTATTCTTCATATATATATATATATATATATATATATATATATATATATATATATGAAGAATATATATCGCTGTGGGGGAATGGAACGCAGGGCTTCTGCACATAAAAAAAGCCCTCTAAACTGAGCTACAATCCCAGTCCATATATGGACAGTCTGCCTAAAGTGCTCCACCTGCCCTCCACCTTCCTATGAAGTCCAGTGTTTGAGAAAAACAACTGTGTTTTGGACAGGCACTATTGAAAGATGAGTGATGTGAGAGGTTTAACTTTGGTCTCAGTTTATCATAAATCATTGCCCATTCTCCCCAGTTCCCGAAGACACACAACTTAGAGTTGTTTTTATTCAGTCTTGTTTGAATTTTGGTGGTGCTAGGACTGAGCCCATGCTAGCAAAAGCTCTGTCACTGAGCTATGTCATCCATATTTTCCCTTTTTGAGACAGGGTCTCATGGGGTAGCCCAGGCTAGCCTTGCATTTGTGGTCCTCCTGCCTCAGCTTTTGTGTTGCTGGGGTCACAGGCATTTAGCATCATGCCTGGTTTAGTTGCACCCTAGGACTAAACCGGTATTATTGTCCACAAGGAAACTGTCAGTGCAGCTCTCTCAGACAGGCAATTCTTCCAGCTAAAAGAAGCAACAGAAACTCAATCAATAGCCTGACAACTTCCCACACTTCCCTTGTAGGGCTTCGTGTTCGTGGGAATATTCCGTGTATGTGATGAAAACAGACGTCAACACAAAAACTAGTGACTACTCTCTGTGCTTCCCCAAAATGCTCGTATTGCAGCTCTCACTTTGATGTGTAGCAGGACTTGGCAAGCCCAATTGGGTGACATGAGAGCAGACCGGCATTCATTGCAGGGACACATCAAAGACTGGAATTTACAGTGTGTGCTCTAAAGACTAGCTTTTCCATCTTCCATTTCCGTGTGTGTGTGTGTGTGTGTGTGTGTGTGTGTGTGTGTGTTATCCATTGGGGTGTGTCTTCAAGTCTGCATGTGTGTGTAAGGGGAGGGGAGTGCCTAGAATCATCCTTGATCACTCCTTGACTTGATTCATCGGGACAGGGTCTCTCAACTAGATCCAGAGCTCGCAGATGTGGGTAGTCTAGCTAGGCAGCTTGCTTCCACCTCCTGAAGCGGGGATTATTGGCAGGCCACCAGGCCCCACGCATCATTTACATGGGTTCTGGGGATCTGGACGCTGGTCATCACACTTGCATTGACAAGTGGTCTAACCACTGTGCCATCTTCTCTGTCTTATAAATACTATTTCTTAGAAGCACATAATACTTATATCTTAATGGGTTTTTATTTTCTGAAATCAAGGTAGTTTTCTAGTTTCAACTCTAAAGAAATTAATTTAAATTTCAAACCTGTGCTTTAGTGGTATATCATATATAAATTTAAAGTCACAAAAGCTTCTTTTTTTCATTAAGGGCAAAGCTTTATTATTATTATTTAAAAAGCTTGTCCTTTCTCTTTATTGAGATCTCCATTATGAGTGACAGATGATGATAGGAGATGAAGCAGAAGTGGGTATCGTGTCCATGTTACCATGGAGATGATCATTTGGTTGACAGTAGCGAGCTCAAAATGAAGTAGGACCCAGGGAATGTGTGTTTCCCCGGGATGTCATAGATGGCGCACTTCCTGTGATAACTGGCATGTGTGTCAGGAAGCGGGCAATTGAACCATGTACGGCCAGCAGGCAAGTACTGACACTCAACCTAGTGTCACAAGGATCTATGTTAAATCAACAATAAGCTGGGCAGTGGATCTATTTTGCCATGAGAGTGAAGTCTATAAATACATTCCAACATGGCAAAACGGAGGTCTCTGTGAAAACATCTCCATCACCCTACTGTCTTATCGGCAATGATTCTTCCCTCATTTTCTGCATCCTAACTAGATGACAGGCAATCGGAGATTCCAAGAGTTACTGAGGTAATTACTGTGAGCATCAGGGTTCCAGGGCCATCTTCTAGTCATCATGATTCAATTTCCTCCATGGAACTAAAGCTGACGACACACCAGCTTTCCTGGGAAGTTGTGCGACTTAGTCACCATGAGGGCCAAACTCATGGCAATTTAGTGGGCAGCTGAACCCCAGGTTGACCCAGCTGGGGATCGAAACAATGTCAGACTTGGATCCTTCATTTGGGACCTTGTCCTTAACAAGGTCTTTAAGTAGTGTGAAATCCCTTCCAAGCGACTTGGCAAGCTCACTCGAAATAGCACTTGAAAACTGCCTAATGTTCACAATTAAATTTTCAAGTCACATGATATCATGGTATGCTGTTACATGATCCTTGCTCACTCAAAAATCTCATTTGAAGACTGCCTAATATTAGCAGAATTAAAATTTTCAAGTCACATGACATCGGATACACTGATACAAGGTTCTTGCTCCTCTTTGGAAGATTAGCTATTTGTAAATCATGTTTTTATCTCCAAACCCCAGGATGAGGCTCCACTGCTTTAAAACCTGGGGAACCAGCAAGACAACTCCAAATAACATAATGGAGTAGAAACTTGACCCTTGGCCTTGTTAGAGTTATAGAACCTATGCTTATGTGTAGGGTTTTTTTTTTTTTTTTCTCATTTCATGACCCTACTATGATGTTAATCAAATGGAAGGATTCACACTCAAGCATTCTGCAAACTACCAATTGCAGTTCACATGACAGTCATGCTGAGGGTGAACAGTGCTGCTGCTGCAAAAGGCCTCTTTCCTTTTCAAGCCGGAGACAGTTCCTCAAGTTTAGACAGTCCCTCAAGTTTTATTCCTGCTATGTTTCCCTTGACTCTGTCTAACGCCAGTAAGTGCTGGAACCACGAGACTTTTGTTTTTCCGCCCGCTTTAACTCAAAAGTACTGAAGGATTGTTAATAGCAGAAAACTCTGTGTCAGAGAAATTGGGAATGGAGGAATCCCAAGTGGGTCCATTGAAAAGATGAGAGTCTTAAGAACTTGGACCTGGCTGGGTGTGGTGGTGCATCCCTTTAATACCAGACCCCAGTAGGCAGAGGGAGGTAAATCTCAGAAGTTTGAGGCCAGCTGGGACTACACAGTGAGAATCAGTTTCAAAAATGAACAAATAAACAAAACAAAAATATGTGAACTTCTGGTCACCCAGCTGGATGAGCTGAGTTCAACTGCTGGAACCCACGTGATAGAAGAGAAGAACCAACTCCCACAAGTTACACTGACTTTCATACATGCACTGTGACACACACACACACACACACACTGTTAAAAAAAAAAAAAGAATGCAGACCTGAGGTTGGTCACCCACTTCTTAGATATGTGAATATCCCTGTTTTCAGTACTCTGGCCTCCTTTATAACATTAACTGATTAATTACTTTATAAGGCAGGCACATATGTCTAAAACTGCCAAGAGATTCTCAGAGATCCAGGAGAAACCCCCAAAATTGATGTGGCTGCTGGATATCTGTCAGAACTTGTTTTTCAACTTGTTTTTTATTACCTTCTTAACCCTCCATCACTTCTAGGTGAGGTTTTCTAGATTCAATTTCAGCTAAAATTCAGAGAAAGTTTAAATCAAAGATTCCTTTGGTACAATTGTACTACAGATAAGAGAAAGGCAACATTAAAAAAAAATCATACAAAGAAACACATCAAGACTTTTATTTTCAGCAAAAACTTGAAATTGGTGGTGGGAGATGCTGGGATTCTGCCTTTCAGTTGGACACACAGAATTGATGGGACTTTTTGCTTGGAAGCTTTCTTAGACACGGTTTGCCCTGGCCTGTTCCTTTCATAGTTGATAACACTGAAGTTCGGGGTACTACAGCACTTGTCTGAGGCCACCCCGCTAGTTACTAGAGGTAAGTAGCAAAACCTAGGCCCCCTGAATCACACGCAGATTGGAATTTCGCTCAGTGTACTGCACCTTTTGAACAAACAGTAAAGTCCATGTTTATTATGTTTTATTGTATAGATTAACTCCTGCTAGTAAAATAGTGCTGTTTATTCTGCATTTGCTGGGAAGCAGAGCCCACTCTGCCAGTGTCCATTTCAGTATACTCCTTCTTTCGTTCCGCTCAGTTAGATCTGTGGCATCCTGAGTTTTCTTTCTTTTTCTTTTCTTCTTCTTCTTCTTTTTTTAATAGGACACTTAATGGGGAAAAAGAGCACGGATGATTCCCAGTCCCTGTATGGGTCTGACAGAGATGGCCTGAAGGAGCAACTGAGGGGCTACATGCGCTGGGAAGAAGCTGCACAGAATTTGCTGGGTCTCCTGGAAGCCTTGGGTGACAGAAGCCCTCAGCCACTTCAGCACCCGCCTCGGGGTGATCTCCAGCCTGCTTGGGATCCCGAGGATGGCAGCTACTTTAATGATGCTCAAAATAGAAAGGTGAAACAAACAAGCTTCAGATGAGGGGTGGGAGGTGGTTGATTAGGAGAGCATAAAACTGCTTATTCTGCATGCTGGTGACTTTTCCCATCACTGTACAAAATACCCGACCAAAAGCAATTTGAGAAAAGATAGGTTTAGTGCGGCTCACAGTATAAGGGTACAGTCTGTTACCCCGGGGAAGGTGTGATAGCAGGACCATGCGTGTGTGTGTGTGTGTGTGTGTCGCAGAAATAAATGGCGCTGGTACACTCTTTCCTTTCCCCTTTCAGTCTATCCAGGACCCTACCTCATATTGATGCCACCCACACTCAGGGTAGGTCTGCCCAGCTGTTAAACTCTGTCAAAAAGCCTCACAGGCACGTGCAGAGGAGTGTCCAGGTCAATTTGACAACATAGAAGTCTTCATGTTGCTACAGCAAGGCAACACCCATGAGTGCTAAGCACTCATATTCAGTTTCCATGCTAGCTTCTTCTCTGTTGATAGAATAAAGCTTTTCTCTTAGAAGAAAAAGCTAAGTTCCAAAGTTTGGTTTAGGAGGTTTATTAGTAATTTTGCTTACGTGAAGCAGTGATTATGGGCTTCATGAGTTTCTGTTTATTTGTTGCCTAGGCTTGCCTCTCACTGGAGATGGTTCTGCCTCAGCCTCCCAAATGCTTAGGATTATAGGTGTATGCCACTGTGTCTGACTTCTTACCTGGATATTTTTGTAGTTAGGAAGCCTACAGACAGTATTTGAATAAATTCTTGTGGCTTAAGAGATATGTTAATTTTTGATATGCACTAGAGGAAGAAAGGTGCTGTTTGCAGATGTTTTCTTTTCAGAGAAGCTTGTTCTTGTTTATATACAAAGTTTAATTTTTCCCCTCTTTATTCCAAGATTGAATAATTCGAATTGCATTCGAATATCCAAAACTCAGTGAGGATATCTGAAGCCAGCTGACTTATTGGTATATAATAATACCAAAGTGGTAATGTTCAGATACAAAGATAGCAAAGAGACTGGGTTTTATGGAAAGCAAGGTAGGCGAAAATGAGGTGATTATCTCATTTTTAATACATGTACAGTAGAAGGTAAAAGAGGCTTGGGGCTAGCTTTTTTTGGAGGGATGATTTCTGTCTCACTTTCTTCCCATCCGCTGGGGATTTTTGATGTAAAATGCAAAGTAACATCTCTTTTGTTGCATGAAACACCTAGAGAGAAAGCCTTTAGTGGCTTTTATTCAGAAGAAAAAAATCTAGATCAATTCAACCAATAAAGAAGTCAGTACCAATGGTATTGTTAATCGTGTTGCAGGTGTTAGCTGATCAGCTTCCTTCTTTGTCAAAGGCTCACCTGCTCTGGGGCGCTGTGAACTTGTACCTGACCTCTCAGCCCCTACCTGGCCATGCTTCTTCTTGGTCAAATGCTTTCCTGGAGTGGGATTTAATAACTACGTAGTTCTAAGTTATTTGAAGAACACAAAGAAAAAATAATCACTACTCCAATGCCCTCAAAGATAAATTTCTACAAGCATCAAAATGCATTTGCTCTTTTAGTTCATTCTTAGAACACTCCGGACACATACAGCTGTGATATGCATCTCCAGTGCTCAATTTTCCTTAGAAATTAAAGAAAGGAATATTTATATTTTGGGTGGTTTGCCAGCCTAAATGCTTGCACACCACCTATGTGCCTGGTACTCTTGTAGGTCAGAAGAGGATGTCTGATTTTCTGGAGCTGGAGTTACAGGTGGTTGTGAGTTTCCGTATGGGGGCTGGGCCTCAAACCCTTGTCCTCTGGAAAGGTAGTCAGTCAGTACTCGGTAACTGCTGAGCCATCTCTCTGGCTCCTACAGTGCTTCATTTTCCTAAGTGAACAGCAGGATCCAGTTGGAGTTGCTTTATCCCCTGAACTTGGCTCTGCCAATCACTGAACTCCTAAAAAATTCCAGTCCTTTCTCAAGGGCCCCAAATGTCCCATATTCAAGCAGAATATTCAAAGCTTTGAAGGATTATGAAAGAATAGTTCCACAGAGGTCTCTGTGTGGCAACATTATAGGATGGATTGAGAGGGCAGTCATGGAAACTGGCTGCTTTAGAATGGACACTACTTCTAACACTATAAAAAGCCCCTCCCCCTTAAATCTAGCGAGGCCTTGTTTTTTGATTTATCTTTTTCTGTGCTGTTCCCCCTCCAAGTTAAAAAGCCCGTCATCCCGTTTTATTCCACCTCAAGTTGAATAATTAGCTTTTGCACATGTTGGTCCTGTTGGTCCTCTAGGATACATTTCCCAGAGATGTGAAAAACAAACTTAAGAGTGAGTTTAGTCTTCACAGAGAGCAAAAACAGTTTTATTGTTTCACTTGCTTTGGACATATTGCCTCAATGAAAATATGTCGTTGTGAAAATTGAAACCATTTTATAATTACCTTATTCAAAAAAGAAAGAGTGCTGAGAGACCTGCTCTATTAGAAATCCATATGTCTCCCAGTGTTGGAGAGAAGTTTAATGATCTAGCCGAGAACTCCCAGAACGAGCTGCCGGAGCTCTCTGAGGCTGGAGGACTCTGTTTAAAATGACAAACTCTGCACACAGCTCCCCTCTCTCACTGCAGCCATAAAACACCGAGTCCTGTTGCCAACTTGCCCAGAGCTGCAGTTAGAAACTGAGCATTTCCTATAGTTTGATGGCGAAGATATTTTACTTAATTCAGAGCGGTGTGCGGGAATGTGTACTGCTGTAGACTTCCAGATCGTCGCAGACAGGCCCTAGAGCTTTGCTAGCAAGCATGGCCAGACACACTGAAGTTAACACTCTTCTTCTCCTCCTTCTTTCCCATTCCCTTTTCTCCAATCTTTTAATGCTATCCTGAAAATAATGGAACTTCTACCCCGTGGTTTCTATAGCATGAGGTATGTTCAGATCAGTTCAGATCAATTCAGATCCAGGACCTAACCCATAGCCTCGGACATGGTTGTGGAATATACTGAGAGTCAGGGAAGGATTTTTTTGTAATGTAGGCCCTGGTCATTGCTCTTTGCAGCTGTTGTCTTTTCCCTTTATTTGTGGACATGAACACAGGGGTTGGGAATGAACTTCCAGAGGCTGTTCTAGAAAGAAATGGATATGTGGGTTTGCCTTTTTTTTTTTTTTCTCCTTTCTTTCTTTTTTTGAATCTTGTTATTCAGTTCAGGCAGTCCTGCACTGGTGATCTTCCTACGTCAGACTCCCATGTAGTTAAGATTACAGGCATGCACCACCATGCCCAGCCTTTGTCTTCATTTTAAAGGGAGCCTTCTTATTGTCTGACTAAATCAATGTAAGCCATAGGAAGAGGTTTGGGTTTTTTGTTTGTTTGTTTGAAATTTTCCTGCGATGGTCAGCTTTAATTGTCAACTTGACACAATCTAAAAGTACCTGGAAAAAAAAGAGTCTCAGTGAGGGACTGATTACATCGGCTGGCCTGGGGGCGTGTCTTAAAGTGATTGTGTTGATCAGGTTAATAGCTGTGGGAAGACCCAGCCCACTGTGGGTGCTGCCATTTTCTAGGAAGGGGTTCCTGAGCTGTGTGAGTGGAGAAATCAAGCTGAACACAAGCAAGCAAACATTTCTCTCTGCTCTCAGCTGTGGGTGTGATGTGACTAGCAAAGCTCCCCCCTTGACTTCTTTCCTATGATGAAGTGTAACCTGGGGTTGTGAGCTAAAATAAACCTTTTTCTCCCCAAGTTGCTTCCCCCCCACCACTATTCTGGTTTTATTTTTGTTGCTGTGATAAGTACCACGATGAAAAGCAACTCGGAAAAGGGAAAGAAAGAGCTTATTTGACTTACATGTCACTCGCAGTCCATCACTGGGAAAAGCCAAGGCAGGAACCTGGAAGCAGGTTGACGAAGAGATCATGGAGGAGGCACATGGCTGTCCTGGCTTGCTTCCAGGCGCATAGTCAGCCACTTTCCTAATAGAGCGCAGACCCTCTTGCGCTGGATTGCTTTGCCAACAGTGAGCTGATCCCACCTTCATGAATTACCAGTCAAGAAAATGCCTTCCCCCTCATGCCCACAGGTCATTCTGATGGAGGCAATTCCTCGGTTGAGGCTTCCTCTCCCCAGGTGTGTCGACTTTACAACCAAGATTAGCCATCACACTCGGGATACTTTATCAGAGTAACAGAAATTAAACTAGAGCGGTTCCCAGGGGAGTTTCATGTAGAAAGCAACATAAATCGAGAACTGATGACTCTCCAATGACCCCCAACAACCTCTGTGCAGGAAGAGTGTGACCACCTCAGCACCTCTGTCTGCTGGACTCCAGCCTTGGCTAACTCAGCTTTCTTCTCCCCCTGTCCTTTCTACTTGGCTTTCTCTTTCCTGGGCTGAGCTAAAACTTTCAACTCGACACTTTCAGATAGTGGGATGGGCCGGGGTTCCTCCTCATCCTCAGCTGGCTCCTCTTATGGCCGTGGGGTCATTTGGTAGGAGAGATGCTGAAATCTAAAGGCTGGTAGTCATGGGGTTGCAGCCTTGGTGCTGAGACAGGAAGGTAAAGCTAATTGGCTTATGTGGGAATCCATCCCCAGCCCAGGGCTCATTAGCATCTGCTGCACACAGTGAGCTTCAGAGTAGGAACCATTTGCCTAAGAATAGCAATACTTCCCTCATTAGAAACAAGTGACCAGTCTGGAATTGGGGGAACTAAATTGCCAAAGGATCTTGGGGAGGGTAATAAACTCTTGACTGGGTTGAAAATAATAAGAGCTAGTTTCTCATCTCTTTGGGTAAAAGTTGCTGTAACAGAATTAAAAATTTTTTTTTAACTGTAACTACTTTTCCTTTATTTTCAGTGAAACTGAGCATAAGCCACAGCAAGCCACAGACAATAAATTTAGAATGTAGGTGGAGACCCAAATGATGAACTCCATTTCTTGAGGTGCCTACACTGCTACCATTTCCTGGTTCAGTTTGCAGTGCACGGATTAGAAAACAAAACAAAACAAGCTTTGACTGGTGCAGCACAGTGTTGGTGGTGGAGGGGGATAGCATTGCATGGAGCCCTCTTCTCCTTCCCCGGCTCTGAGAATAATAAATAAAGCCTTCAACTTCCAACAGTGGGCTAAAACACACCCAAGGAAACAGATTAGAAGCTTAGCAGAGGTCACCTGAGGCCCTCCAGTTCCCAGGTGGTGGGAGAAGTTACCTTGTTTCTCAGGAGTATGAGTGCTTCCCTAACACTGTGTTTAGAGTCTTGTGAAGGCAGAACACAGGCCTCCTCATCAGAGTCAGGAGGTTCGGGTGTTGACCCAAGAATTTGCCTTTCTACCTCGTGATGCTGATGGGCTGGAGGGGAGGGTTTTGCTGCTACCATTAGACTTTTCCCTCATTCACAAGTGTGTGTAACTATCCCTAATGTATCTCTTTAAGCTGGTGGACTCTCTGCTCCAGGTTCTCCAGGGGAAGGAAGAAACTGCCAGCTGAAGGGACAATGACAAGGGCAGCTTCCAAGGAGCAAAACAAAACCCTTCAGAGACTGCATTCTGCCAACATCAATTCTACTGGACCATCAACAAGATTTTCTTTTTGCAATTTACTTTACTATTCTTGTCTCTTTCAACCGTGACTAAATTCATGATTTTCAAGCAGCATCTTCCGGTTTGAACTTGTCTCTGTGAGCAACTACCTAGAAAGAGCTTTCCGATGAATGCTTTCTCCAGCTAGGCTTTTTGTTGATTGGATTCAGGGCTCCAATCTGCTACAATTCACAATAAAAGCTTACTTAATCACATTGTCTGAAGGGCACCCTGTCCTCCTTATTTCATCTCCAAGTGAAAAGACAGGATGGCAGAGCTCAAAAGTCACTTTGACAGTACACTTGGGTGTTCGCTGATTAAGGCAGGAGGGATCACCCGCGGTCACCTCTGAGGGCTGCTTAGTGAGTTCTTTTACTGAGTAAAGTCCTCAGGTGGGCTGGAGATGGAGGCCGGCCTTCTCCAGCACTTGCTGAGTCCCTCTTCTTCAGTCCTTACTCTGGACAACAATGTGTGTTGCTGATGCTACCACATATTGCTCAGGATGGTTCCATGAGCTGAAACTGCTCACTTTTCTTTACCGGACAAGGAGACAAAGGACCGCAGACTTTCCCAAGGTCACATGGTCCATGGAACTAGAAACCAAACACACATTTTCTGTGTCACTCCATTTTAAACCTCCCTTCAGCATATGTAGCAGGCAATACCGTTTGTTTTTGTTTTTATGAGAGGAGTAGTAGCTAGCCAGGCTAGATACACTCAGCTTTCCCTTAAAATGAAAAGAAGAATTCAGGAGGTTTCCTGTTTTCGAAGAATGTGGCCTGGCTGTCCGTGCACACTCCCCAGCCCCATTTTTATCATGACATTTGCACATGAACAGATTTTGAAACTTGTTGCCATATGGCTCCGACTTTCTTCATTTAGGGGAAAAAAAAAATCGCATTTGAAATCTTAAAAAGCTTTCTCTCGCTCCTGTTTCATCAGAGAAACACTAAAGACGTGATGTGTCCTAGGATCTTTTAAAACCTTGTTGATTCAAAACTTATCCAAACTGAGAGCTGTAAGAAGCATCTTCTCCATGTCCTGACTGCTTTACAGCCCCCACTCTCTGCTGTCGGCCCCTTGAAGCCTCTTTCTCAAGAACTCAGTCACAGGGCTGTGGAGATGGCTCGGTGGGAAAGGGCTTGCATTACACAAGCATAAAGGCCTGAGTTTTGTCCACAGCATCACATGAAAAGCCAGGCGTGGTGGTGCCCGCTCCTGTAACCCATCGTTGTGGGCAGCGGGGACAGGAGGATGGCTAGGGCTTGCTGGCTGCAGCCTAGCTGCAGCTTCAGTGAGAGACCCTCTCTCAGGGGAACAAGGCAAAACATTACAAGAGGAGGGAACTCACTCTCCTCCTTTGGCCTCTGAGAGTGCACTCACACTCACACACATCTGTCCCCCCTCCCACAGCCACTTAAACAAGCAAACTTGACGAGTTTTGTCGGCTAAAACCCCATTTTACTAATAAAGGAGGTAAACTTAGAAGGCCCCACCTTCTGATAGGAAGAAGGAAACACTGCTGTGGACCCTTACAAGGCGTTCCCTCGTAACAGTGGCATTGCAGGCAAAAGGCAAGTAGCCGACGGTTGAATAATCCCAGGTGACACTTGTTTGCTAGTCTCTTGGAGCAGCTGTACATCCGTGTTGGCAGAAGTTACTTTTCTTCATGGGTTTGCACATGGAACCCTGAAAGCCTCTACTACTGAAGTTCGCTCACAAATCACTCATAACTGAAAGCATCTGATTGGTGAGACCCTGAGCCTATGACTGTATCTAGGTGCAAGGGCAGCTGGGAAGCGTAGTTTTCAGGCTTCCACTTTGAGACTGTGCTGTTAAAATTACGGGATCCCACCAAACAGGGAAAGGTGGAAGCAAAGAAGTGGTCAGCCACACATAACAGATCTCTCTCTCTCCTTCCCAAAAAAGAATCTTCCCACCTGGCTTCCTGCTGTACTCTCTTATGCCCAAGACCTATTAGTCTCCAACCTGGAGTTCTGGAAAAGTGTGAGGTGGGGCGGGGTCACATAGAGCTGTCTACAGCATTCGGGTCTGCTCTGCGCACAGCAAGATGAGTCTGTCTATCAGGAGACAATATGGAGAAATCCTCCCAAAGCAGGATGATCAAGAGGATTCTTCTGAAAGAAAGAAAGCAACAACAGCCTTTAGATTTGTGTGTGTGTGTGTGTGTGTGTGTGTGTGTGTGTGTGTGTATGATTGCTCTGGGTAATAGGTCAATCTTCACTTGGATTATCGATTCATAATACTAACTAGGACTCTCAGGCAGTGCAGTACAATTTTTGACCTCAAAACGCCTCTTTTCAGTTCTCACTGGGAATGCTCCATTGTCACAGAGCATGGGGAACCAGCTTGGACAGACAGGGAGCAGTCCAAGCAGAGCGAGTGCAGGGCCTGCAGTTACACTTCTTCCAGCTGGGTTGTTCACAGGAGGTCGACAGTCATGGACCCTGGCCAAACACCCCTCCTTCCCCGTACCCACAGTGAGGAGGCTTCTGCCTTGGCTCCAGCTGGTGTTGTCTGGTTAATCCACTTAAAAAAGAACAGGTTAAATATCTATCCACTTCCCCCAAAAATATTGTATGACACGTGGATTGTTGGAAAGAGGCGGGTTATCACTGTTACCATGAGGGATCTGAGAGGCCATTGGCTAATATCCAACGAAGTGTCATAGTTGGAAAGGACCTCTCATAGCCTTCAGAAACAGAACCATAATAATTCTTTCTGATGCTGCCATTGTGCCTTACTTTTTCTGGGTTGGGGGAAATGTCTCAGTCAGCTTGCCGTGCAAGCCTGAGGTCTCCAGCCCTCTGGTAGGGAGAGGCAGAGACCTGTGGATCCCTGGAGCTTACTGGCCAGCCAGCCAAATGAATGTGCTTCAGACTCCAGTGGGAAACCTTGCATCAAAAAATGAGTAAACAAGGTAAGCAGAGTTAAGGAAGAGCTCTGACATCAGCCACTCTGGCTTGCACATGCATGGAGACATACATGCACACACAGACGTTAAGATGTACCCATACAGCACACATATGAGAGATTTTGTGTAATGTCTTATGCTACCATCTTAACAACGAAAGGCCTTCTCTAGAAATTGGTGGTAATTTGCTTGTCAGTTATGTCTTTACGGTAGAGACTGTTACTAGGTGAATGCAAAAAAACTAAAGCAAACAATATCTGGATGCGAGTTGGGGACTGGAGAGATGGCTCATTGGTCAAGAGCAGTGGCTGCTCTTCCAGAAGAGCAGGGCCTGAGTCCTAGCACCCACATCGCATCCCACAGCTATCTGTAACTCCAGGGTTTCCCACTTCGCTTTTATGACATTGGATCCTGTGAATGAACCAAGCTGCAGGTAAGTCCGTACAACCACAAGGCTCCTAGACAGTAGGGCTCCGTGCTTACTGCGTGTTTCATGCCGCGTGTGGTGTGCCGGAAACTTTTGCCTGGATACGAGTCTGTGCACCATGTGCATGCACTGTAAGAGGAAGGCAGAAGAGCACTTTGGATTCCATGGGACTGGAGTTACGATCAGTTGTGAGCTACCACGTGAGTGCTGCGAATTGAACCTGGGTCCTCTGGAGCAGCAGCCAGTGTCCACTGAGCCGTCTCTCCAGTCCCACATGCCATCTTCAAGACTTTTTATTACATTGTTGTCTGTGTGTGTACTCCACAGCGCACAAGCAGAGGTCAGGGGACAGCCTTCAGTGTTGGGTCTCTCCACCGTGTGGATGCGCAGACACTGAACTCAGACCAGTCGCCATACTTGATGACCCATATCCCCAACCCTCGTCCTAACTCCTGAAATCAAATCCCAGATAGAACTCCTCTTTTTATTTAGGTTTTGAGCCAACTGAGAAAACATTATTTTGTGTACCTATCACTTATTTCTCTGATATAACACCACTTAATCAGCCCTTAGAGTTAGGAAAAAAAAATTCTGATAAAGCCCAAGCAAACAGCAACAATACAACCAAGCAAAATGGAATGAATCCTGCAGAGGAAAAAAAAAAAAAAAGCTTAAAGGTCTTGGTTTTTAATACATCATAAATAATGTTTCCTAAGCCCTTTGATTAAGATTATCCCAAGAAGGAGCCACTAATTATTTCTTGCTCATAGTTTTTCACACAAGATTTTGTTTACAGTTTGGAAAAAAAAAATCACAGAATGTAATTCCCTAGAAGATTAAACCTAAACTTTCTCTCAGAATAATACCAAAATAATGCTGAGGCTTCTGAGAAATCTGCTTAATTCTTAACACGGACACAACAACACATCAAACAAGGGCGCTGTGTAAAGCTTATGGTACAGTAATTGGTGGGGTCTCCAAGGGAATGGAGAAAGAGTTCCCCCTAAGGGTCTGTATCAGATAAGATTTTGGCATCAAGAGGGACTGTCTACCCTCATCTCCAGGGCGTATCTTGCTTCTAGGTTAGAAATCTTTATTTATGTTTTAATCCCAAGGCTGCCTTTTCCTGGCTTTCCATTAGAAACAAACAAACAAAACCTGCCCAAGCTGGCTGGAGATAGCTCCGCAGTGAAGAGCACTGCCTCCTCTTCCAGAGGACCTTGGCTCAGTTCCCAGCACCCACATGATGTGGTTTACAAGCACCTGTAACTTCAATTCCAGAGGATCTAATGCCCTCTGCTGGCTACAGCAGGTATTGCAAGAATGTGGTACACGCAGTAAGCAAAATACAACTCATAAAATAAATTTAAAGGCCGGGCAGTAGTGTAGCACACGCCTTTAATCCCAGCACTGGAGAGGCAGAGGCAGGTGAACCTCTGAATTCCAAGACAGCCTGGTCTACAAAGTGAGTTCCAGGATAAACAGGGCTGCACAGAGAAACCCTGTCTCTAAAAACCATTTAAAAACGGAAGAGGAGGAGGAGTATGGGAAAGAGGAGGAGAAGGTCGACGAGGAGGAGAAGGAAGAGGATGAGGACGAGGACAAGAACTAACCAAATAAATTACCTTCCTATCCTCCAATTCACTTCTTTTCTTTTGGTTTTATATGTTCTTACTTCATTCAAGTTATCTCTGTAGCTTTGAAAGACCTCTCCAACTCCATTTTACTTTGAAATACAGTTCAAGGTTATAGTGCATCGTAGCGGGGAATCACCGCAGTTAGAATCTGAAGTAGCTGGTCACCTTGCACCCACAGTCAAGAAGCAGTGTGAGGGATCAGATGTTGACGAAT